TATCATGGCTAACTTGATAATTTGCTAAAATGAATCTTAAGAAGCTTTTCTTCGTAGATAAAAAACCTCATAAATTATTATTCTAATCATAAAAGATAGATATTGTTTGACACTTATTTGTCTTCACAGCAAATGGTAGTATAAAAACCTAAAAAAACACACACATGCCCTGTTTGCTCTTGGTGGTTATGTTTCATTTTTAAGTGACAGTTCATTTAAAATTAATCTTGCCGTATATTACATTTTTTAAATTTGTTATTGGAAGAATTCCTTAAAAGAATCAATGAGGATACAATTCACTTCTCGCCATGCAGCTTTGTTGAAACGGTTTTGCAGGTGCATAGGTATGTGGCTAATTGCCACTTTTGTAAACGCAATGGACCACCTTGATATGGGAACGGGGTTTTATGGGGTAAAAATGGTTTTTTCTCATTGTGTATTGAAGTGTTTTTTGTACGGTTATTAATTAATGACATTTTTTTAATTTAAAATTTTTATCTTAGTCTTACAGAAAATAAGGAAACTGTTATTTTATTTTCTCCGTAACCGATAACCGTAAAAAAACACTTCAATATACAAATTGTTTAAGCTGTATAAAAGGAAATTGGGACATTTTATGTTTTGAAGGTAAAGAAATGAGAAAACCCATTTTACCCCATAAAACCCCCCATAACCCCCTTCCCATAGTCCGATCATGCTGGTTCGCGAACTCATTCAAGTTTATCCCACCCCACACCTTTAAGCAAAATTTTATTGAAATCGAACAAAAATTACTCAAGTTATCGCGTTCATGGACATACATTATTTATACATACATATATAAAAATTTGAACGAATAGTGTTTTTGGCCACTAGGGATATCAAAATGAAAAATCATATCGGTCCCGGCTCTAGGTCTTACCTTGCCACCTACGGTAATAGCTACTTCCCTATAGGGAAATCCGCTAAAACGTAAACGTGTTGTAAAACTTCAGTCTTTAGGCTACTGGTCAGAGATGGCCCAGTCTCTAGCAAGGTTGTAGCATTGTTGTAGTTCACGTTCAAGGGCGAGGACAAGGTATAATGTACGTATTCCGTACGTATTCCTCTCTCTTATAACGACATAATGGTCATTACGTATCCTTGAGAACAACCCTGCCTAAATCATCGTAGATCATCAAATAAATGACGTCATATTTCTCAAAATTTGAACGCCCCCGCCGCAGTTGGCCCTCTGACTGCAGAATACAAAATAGCTAGAGTCACTAAAATTGGCTATTCTTTATTCTAGGCTCAGGCAAAGCTAATCTCTAGTTGCTTGATAAAATCTAGGGTTGAGCATGTACGAGTTTGATAAAAATCATACTTCAATATAAACATATAAGCAATTACGGTGAATACAAAGGCCTGCGAAAGAAAACATAAAACCTATGGCTTGGATAAACGCCAACACATGCTCATTGTCCATGGAATAAATCTATAAAATTGTATCAGGGAAGATCAGAAGTCGAGAAACTAAGCTCAGCTATCTAATAATAATTTTTAAAATTAGATGTTCTATTATTATTTCTCTATCATCACTCTGTATTCGAAAATAGCCCATTTCCATACAGCTGAGATCTTCGAAAATCTTCAATTTCCATACACCAAAAACAAATAGTAATCAGCTGAATTTTCCTGAAATAAACATTACTTTCGCTCCATAAACAATATAATACTTTGCCTGATATCAACAAAGCTACAATCAGCTGAATTTTACACTAAAATTAATTGTACAGCCGTATTGTGTTTAGATTAGAAAAATGGATAGACTACTAAATATCAGATACATTTTTAAGTTTGATGAAGTAGTTTTTTTCTCCGTGATAAAAAGTATCGTTCAATACTCGTCACCAAAGTCCCATTTCGGGGCTCTATAGAGTTTTTCGGGGCTCTATAGAGTTTCCCATACACGTCTTAGTAGTGAAATATGCCTGGACAGTATGGCATTAATATTGTTCGAGTAAATTATTTTTTTAAATTTGGATATATTTATTGTAAATTAAAATTTGTATTTTGCGCTATAATAAGTTATTGCCGTGGGTAGCATAGTATGACATAGACCCAGGACCGATTTAATTTTTCGTGTTGATGTACGTAGAGGCCAAAAACGCAATTCGTTTTAATTGTTATACAGGATGTCCCGTAAGTAAACAGCCAAACTCCGGGAAGTGGTTCTATGGGTCAAAATAAAGAGAAAATCAAGAATAATATTTTTTCCAAAATAGCTTCGTTAACCAGATATTCGCCATTTTGTTTTTTTCACATAACATGTTTATCTTTAAAGTTGTTCAATCGATCATTATGAAACTTGGTATGTATGTTAAGGTTATAGAGACCTATGTTACAAAAAAATCATCTTTGTTCATCATAAAATTTCAAAATGGCCGCCATTTTGACCCATTATTATTTGTAGACCCGACAACGCCCAATTTGCTAATACAACCATAGTGTAGAGTAAAAACTAACAACTTTTTACACAAGAGCATTGCAGTACTACCATTTTACGGAGATAATTTTAAACCCCCTGAAATTTTAATTCCATGTTATTCTCAAGGAGAAAAAGTAAACTTTTTTAGTTTTATTGGTTATGGGTATATCTTGATCAAATTTAATAATTAAATACCATCCATACGATTACACAATTTACAAACTAAACTCGTTAACCTTCCCTTAGCAGCGAATATAAGTACCAGTTTAACCTAAAGTTATTTATATAGAGAATAAATCTGACTAAAGTCTGCGTTTTAGAAAATGCGGTGTTTTTGATTTTTCCATAAAAAAATATTATTAAATTTATTTTTAAATTTAGCAAAAAGAACGCAATTTTATCAACTGCCTCATACAACTTATGTTACAAATGGCTCTTAGGATCACTAACAAATTGGTGGTTTGATAGTTTTGTAAACACTATAATATGACGAATTACACTAGTATTGTTTATAAATATACTTAATAGAAATACTAGCACTGCCTTTAAAGTCTTTTTTATGTTTCCTTGGACAAAAGAAACTTCAAACTACATAAATTAGGCATCTTATCTAAAGCGCAAATGATAAGTATGGAAATAATTCTAAGTTTTGTCGATGGTAATTTATCAGGTAGTTAAGCCCTTGGTTTACTTTCTCTTGTTTTTGTAAATTTTCGAAGGCAGATGCTACCTTAGTTATTTTTACGTCAGTGCCACATCAAAGATTTTATGACAGTCGTTTCAAAAACAAAATAAACAGAGGATTAACTACACTTGCGATATTATTTCTACTCGAAACCCAAAATTCTATGAGGAATAAGGAAAGTCATATGGGCAAGTTGTCTCGGTTTAGTTCTGCCCACAAATTAATGTCAAACGTTTTAAATCCTAGGATATATGAAACCAAACAAAAATGCTAACCTAACCTAACCCAACCTAACCTAACCTATTAAAAAGTAAAAGTTCTGAGATCTTATCAGTTCTTCCCTACCTTTTTTTATTTTTATTTTTTATTCATTAAAATATGTGCCATCTAAGTCATTGTGTAGATTTTTGGTTTTGATTAACTGATTCAATTTTAAATCGATCTGTTTGTAAAAATTCAAAACCCTTTTTAAATCACTGAATTGTATATAGCAAATTCGAAATTGTTGCACATATGTGTCGTGTCAAAAGTCATTTGCTCTTAACTATTGCACGCAATACTTCCAGTAACGAGGAAAAATGACTGGCTATTGCAACGAATGTGAATTTACTTATTGATGTGTTAATCACATTTAAAATGGTAATGCATTTCCACGCTTGCAATCAGTGCAGTAAAACGATTTGCTTTTGTAAACAATGCCATGTTGATCTCAGAGGTGTTAAAAGACCATACTTGTTGATTTTTTACTGAGATTGACCAACAAATTTGACTATATTTTTTTATTTGGCAAATAATCGGAGTATAGTGAATATAGGCAATATGCTGCAATATGGTAGCGTCCAACTTAGTAAGAAGTGAAGGTCTTATCTCGGTATCAAATTTTATCCTCTTAATGACTTTAATAAAATATTTTCCCACGGAATTTTTTTATGTTTTGGGGGCGTTTTCCCACTCAAGTATTATTTGCTATGTACAATACTGTTAATACTGTTCAATGAAATGGCGACCATACGTTGTTTAGGGAACGGTTCAAACGGTGTAGTTACACCAGTCTTATTCGCAATCTAAGTTCTAGACATTGTATATTGCTCTGTCAAATATCATTTATAGTCGAATCGAGTCAAACATTTTCCACTTGAATATTTTCATTCATTAATTTAGTTTACGCAAACTGTAAAGGGGACGTCGCTGTAAAATATGATTTTTCAGGGATTCATTTATTATTTACACGTTCTTCACCAGCATTGTAATTGATACCATGACCCCAAATACTTTATTTGTAGATGTATACAAGGTTAGGCAACATTATGGACACCCCCTATTAACCTTTTAGGCCCCAATGAGTTACGGGGGAACTCCATAATGGGGTATTTTTGGGGCAGCTCAAAAGTGTTAAATGTCAAGTCCCATCAAGTGACACTACATTTTGAGGGCTGTATATTGAGTGTATTTTATATTTATCACTCTATGGTAAACACATTTAAAAAATATACAAATGGTCTGAGTAGGCTTAACACAGTTTTCCAGCGATTAAAATTTATATATTTAGACTGGCACGTGTGGATTTTATTTGAGTAAATCACAGTGTCGCACTTAAAAGGTGGAATTTAAAATTGTGGAAAATCTTAGCTAAGTTTAAGGGGAAATTCTAAAAATGTTAATATATTGTACAAATTGTGTATTGTGTCAGTGTTTTATAATTAAAGACATTATGGTCAAGCATCACCAAAATTAGTTTAATATGAAAATTATATTGTATGTTTTAAACAACAAATGCATAATGAAAGCACTTGCACCTGTGATTAAGTTAGGACTTAATTATTTTTTTAACAATTGATACACTTAGAGCATATATGTAGGACTCACAGTGTTCATTTTCTCCATGGCGCGGGAGTTGGCAGCAGCAGGGTTGGTCAGCACGAGTGACGTCATCAGCATCAGCACGGCGCTGATCATGTTGTGTGTGTGTCGGCCTCAACACTACTGTCTACTACCACACCACTGTCTACCTATACTATAGGCCTACACCGGCGAGGTAGTGATAGCAGACAAGGTCAGGGGCAGAGCTAGTCTTATACCCGCTGCATCCCCTCCCCTACCTACTACACACACACATCTAGTAATTGGGGATAAGTTATGTGTTAAATACAATATCAACTCAAGTTGAAGGACACGAGCGGCTTTTGGGGTGATACTGAGGTACGCGAAAGAGAGAATGTTGTTCTTTAGATCTGCTGTATTATACAGCATATACTAGGTATGTACAGTATGTGTATGTAGAGTATGTGTAGGCTGTATGATAAACGATATTTATTGTACAACCAAAACACTTATTTTAACGATTTTCTTTAAATTCTGATAAGGCAACCAAGTATCATACACAAGTGGTGCTGATGCATGTTTAAAAATATTTTAACTCTTTGATTCAACTTGACAAGATAATCTTATACAAAACTGTAGACATACTTACTTTAAAAACTCTACTCATTGTGAAGTCAATAGATCCAGAAGATATACCGTAGCAATAAAATAAATTACTTGAGATTGTTATTGTTAGGTATGTCAAAACTGTTAGTTTACCCTAATTCTTCAATTTTAGTGTCAATTCTCATTTCTCTTCAATTTTTCTCCTCTATACAATTTTTGGATATGAGGGGCTACAATAATAATGGTTGATTGTGAAAATGATGGGAGTGGAGTTAGGGGTTAGCTCGAAGATTTTGATTGGGAAGTATGGTCGATTTAGGTATCATTTTATAGGTCTTGACGAAACTAAACAATTGACATAATGAAAACAAAAATCGGACCACTAATAACAAATTGGTGCCCTAAAACGATTCAAATACAATTAAGAATGAGGGTGGCAAAAAGTAACTTGCATCCCCATAACTTTTTAACTATTTGAGATATTTAAAACCAGTTTGCCGCAACCTTCTTAGATATGAGGGGGTACAATAATGATGGTTAATTGTGAAAATTTTGCCCTTAGGGTAGTGGGGTTAGGGGATAGCTCAACATGTTAAAATGGGAAGTATAGTCGACTTTCATGTCATTTTATAGTTCTTGACAAAACTAAAGAAATAAATAAAAAATAAACATAAATAAAAAATAAATCGAACCACTATTAACAAAATGGCAGCAAATTGTTTTTCCTACAGTCACCTGACAAAGTAGACTTCCTTGCACTGATCATAGTACAGAAAGTTGCTATTTGCGGCATTTACTTTCTTTTGCCGCACGCCTTTTTGTCCCACACCAGCATTCCACCCAAACAATAGAAAACAGAGTGGTTTTATTAAGCACGTAATTCGTGTACGCTTTAAGATACTACGACTACGATCAGCTGTTGCAGTGATTCTTATTTCGTTCAACGCTTGGATTTAAGCTAACCTAAAAGGTATTGTTTAGTGTTTAAGAGACTAATTATTTCTATGCTTTATAATAACTGTAGGAAAAAACATGTGTAACACGAGTGCAAAGTGCCACTTCACACACTAGTTACACAAATAACTTAAGGACGTTGGCTATTAAAAGTAATTTTTAGCTATGTTTTACTTCATAGTCTGTGACCATGCTATACTCGCAGTATACTCACTCTGAAAACATCTAAATCATGTTTTTGGCCAGAGTACTTTTCCCACTGCATCACTAGGTTTACACACTTAATTTTCCAATAGTACAGTCAGTTCTTCCATAACTTTACTGAAACATGGTATACAGTGTGTAAATTAAGTATTAAAACAAGTCTGTATTTTAACAACCAAAATAGATAGAAATATTCTGATCGTGGCAATAATTGTTAACAAAGGTTCCTCAATTTTTTACGTCAAAAATATTTTTTAACCCCCGAACAGGAAAGGGGGTAGGGGGTGATTTATGTTTTTCAAATAGCAACCCCTATTGAGTAACCCCTCATTTTGAAGGGGTTGTCAAAAGAAACACAATGATGCAAATCCCCTAGCCAAAATGGCGGATATTCCAAAATGGCTGTTTTTTACAAAAATTAAATTTTGGAATACCCGTCATTTGGGCTAGGGGGGGAAATATCTACCTCGGATTTGCGTCATTGTTTTTCTTTTAACAAACCCTTCAAAATGGGGGGTCACTCAATAGAGGTCGTTATTGAAAAAAATAAGTCACCACCACCCCCTACCCTGTTAAAGGGGTTGACAAAATATTGTTGATGTAAAAAATTGCTGAACCTATGTTAACAATCAATTCCACAAACAGAATATTTCTATCTATTTCGGTTTAAAAAATATAGATTTCTTTCCATTATTTGTGAAATTGGTGCTTTTTCACATACAGTAAATCAAATTTTGGAATGCCTGCCATTTTGACTAGGGGTGAGATATCCACCTCAGATTTGCGTCATTGTGTTTCTTTTGACAAACCCTTCAAAATGAGGGGCCACTCAATAGAAGTTGCTATTTGAAAAAATTAGTTAATATTTCTATCCAGATGTAGGACAGAGTAGTTACCAGATGTGCCTCGGTCCTCCCTGGCTAATTCTGTGGCTGAAGGATTGACAGTTTTATGACTGAAGCTCCTCTGTCCGTTTCCCCTAACGATTCAACTAGAAAAGATAGTAGCGCTCAGGGGAAAACTATCGGTTTTTGGAGAAGTGAAAGCCAAAGCAGTCTTACACATAATGACAAAGGTTGATGAACTCAACACCTTAAGGGACGAGGGAGAACACTATGAAGGTCAACTAGTTAAGGTAAAAGTGATTGTGGAACAAAACAATTTAATTAGCAGTAATGTTAAACAATGTCTTAAGGACGTTTTGATGGGTAACATTATTGACTTGTCTGAACAACCTGGTAAGATAAAAAACTTTAAAGCAAAGTTAAATATGAAAGATATCCGTTTAGTAAACGTAATTCTGTACAGAAAGAACTTGATCGAATGGAAAGAGAAGGAATTATTAGAAGCCTGGGGTAATGAACAAAATCAAAATCGTTTCTTTTTTTATTTTAGTTAGACAATATGCATTGTAATAAAAACGTCAAAGTTAAAAAGAGTTCAAAATATTAATTATATTAAAAAAAATATTAATGAAAATACAAAACTGGTAGCAATCAATACCAGTACACCAGTTATACATAAAAATAATAAAATACCCCCGCCGCAGCTAACCTGCATTTTTTATGGATTTCTAATAAAATATTCCCTAAAAATTTTCAGATTTATTTCCTATTTAAATAACATTTATTTTAGTGAGTACTTAGGTTTGCTGCTAAAGGGAAGATATCAAGGCGTGTTTTATATTTCAATGTTGATAGCTTAGTATGAAATAAACGAAATCTCCAAATTTGGTTAAAATATGTCAATAAACAAGCAATATATATGAATTTGAACGGATGGTGTTTTTGGCCCCTGGGGACCTCAAAACGAAAAAGTAAGTCCCGGGTTTAGGTCTTACCATGAGACCTACGGTAATAGCTTATTCCATGTATGGGAATTTCGCTAAAACAGCGCAGGTAGACTTCGCTTATGAGCTTAGCTATTACTGAAATATTTAAACATGATATGTTTAACAAACTATTAAGTAATAGGAATCGCTTGCACATTTTCTGATTTAAAATACAATTTCAAAAACATCTTGATTTCATCTATCATTTTTATTAAAATACAATGTCAACTCATCTCAGTTAATAAATTTAATTGAATCAGCTATTTAATTGATTAAACTGAATATGTTGGTTAAGATTCAACAACTTTATTCATTTCTTCCTCCTTTCTTCTTACTAAAGTACAAATTTATCATTTCTTTACATATATTTTCAGGTTACAGCGTAGCAAAGGAAGCAATAATGTTCACTTTACATTATTTTTATTACGAAATTTGTCTTTATTTAAAACGTATATCCCCAATTATAAATAACTACTTCTAAATTCTAAGGTAGTCTTTTAGGCTTCTAGTAATAATTTGATTACAGTTTGGATAATTATTTTTGTAAAACCTCTAAAATGTAAGTAAAATTAGTAATCCACAGCATAAATTAAAGTCAATACGTTGACGAACTATTTAAGACTATAAAGATTTTTGGGAGTTATTTAGAATTGGGGATATACGTCTTTAAATAAAGACACGTTTCATAATAAAAACTAGCAGAGTACCCGTCCTTCGTACGGGGTTGGCATGCAAGTACAAAGTGACATTAGCGTATGGTTTGACAGCTCCATTTAAGTAATGTTAAATAATGTTTACATTCAGAATAGTGACATCATTATTTTAAATATGATCTTTACCCTCTCTGTTCTAATATTCATGCAGTATTTAAATGAATGTTTGAACCAGCTGTATGGAATTGTGAAATCAAAATTAATTTGACAGTTAGTACTGCTTGTTTACATTTTTAAACTTTGTAGGTTTGTTCTTTGTTGTCATGGATACCATCAATCAAAATTTACTTTGAAATCTCTCACCTCCGATTTTTGAAAGCCCACGGGGCAGAGCCCGAGGTCAATATTGAAGCGGGAATAGTTCTATATGTATCCTCGGAACTGTAGCTTCATGTGTGTGCAATTTGAGCCCAATAGGTTCAGTAGTTTTTGAGATTAGCTCATACAAACACACACACAGACACCACCTCTTCTTTATAATAGTATAGATAGATAATATAATGTGAAATAAAGGTTCATGCCTCATTTTAAATTTGTCAGATTTTATTTAGTGATAATAAAATTTAAGCTAAACATTTACTGATTAATTTGAAACTCGAAAGTACTTGGTGACTCAAAACAAACCCGAGATAATAATCTTTTAATAACAATTTATTTCTAAAAAGTTAAATTTAATATTGTGTTGGGGTTTGTAGCTGGTCTCTAACCTGTCTGTTTTAATCTAGATACATATGAAATACTTAACCTTAGATACACAACATGCATAAGGGTTTCAGTTTTTTACATGGGTAGGTGTTTAGCCCATCGCCAAAACCCCCAATATGGAGGACCTACTTCTGGTCAGCGGGTCCATCGGACCCAGCCGGGAGGACTGACAAGCAGATCCACCGACCTTCCCCCT